AATTTTGTAATGCTGATTTGACAAAATCGTCATGCATGAGAACCAGTTGAATTCATAGTGCATGAGTATATGTGTTCTTGATTGCCCATGAATACATGTTACATGTCGCCTAAAACCGTGTCTAGCAGGAGACACGCCTTCAAGAGTCAGAGATATCACCAGGTAAGTTATCTCTATCCCTTAGATGCCTGTGACTATCCCGGTATCCCTAACCTGTTCGAACAATCATCAGGCCCCATATTTGATCATTTTATTGTAATCTCTAGATGCCTCTGACGATATCCAAGCATCTATTGATTAAGCCTTTTCAGGTACCTCTGATGATATCCAGGTACTTTGTTAAGGAATCTCCGAGCATTCGGGCTAGCCCCTCTGTTCGCCAAATCGTTAAATACCTCTGACGATATCCAGGTATTTATCAATCAAGTCCTTTCAAATATCTCAGATGATAACCAGATATTTCGTGAGGCGCACCTTTCAAACAATTTGGAAAGTTCCTTCTTGAACACCTTTGACAATATCCAGGTGTTTAGCAGTTGACTTTTTCGATTACCTCTGACGATATCCAGGTATTTCGTTAAAAGTAGGAATGTATTCCAATTTGTTGAATCGCTTTTCGATACCTCGATGATAACTAGGCACCTTGTTAAGCCCCATTTCTAGCAAATTGGAGAAAGCCCCGCATTAAGCACCTCCGATGATATCCAGGTTCCTAATGAATAATTTTCTCGAGTACCTCTGATGATATCCGGGTATTTCGACAAAAGGTGGGATAAATTCCGTTTCGCTAGGTTATCACTGGATGCCTCTGACGATATCCAGGCATTCAGCGGAAGGTCCGTTTCGAGTATCTCAGACGATATCCAGATATTCGAAGTAGTCTTCCATTCTTTGATCTCTAGACACCTCAGACAATATCCAGGTGTCTATTGATCACCATCTTCGATTACCCCAGACGATATCCAGGTAATTCGAACTACCCTTTGTGTGTCCTAATTGAATTACAGGTCACCGAAGTCCATCAGCGTTCATCAGGCAATACTTTTGGGACTGAGCCCAAACATTTGCCAAACAACCTATAGGATCAGAGTCATGCCTCAAATTACGCTACCACTCTTGTCAGGTAAGTAACTTCAGGTATGTTTTATTCATGTTAACATGCATCATGATATACTGCATTTCAAAATGGGACTCATACTCCCACAAAAAATAACATTCATTGCATTTGCATGGTCAAAATTTAGGTATCATTTAGTCTTTGAATGCAACCTCTACGAGCTCACCTTCAAAGAGGGGCAACCTGTTGACACCTAAATTTTGACTAACCATTTAGTGATTAATTGCACAGAAAATTAGGGATTAAATTTTAGTCCCTAACAAAAATATTAAAGTTAAATTACATAGCATTTAGTTTTAAGAACATTTATTAAGTAGTTGCATTTGTATCGGACTGGTGGCGGATGGGCTTCACAAAATTTAATTGAACTGGAGTTAATGGACTCAAGTACAGAGGTTCTGAACCCAATGGAATTAACTGGATCAAGCCCGTGTGAATTAAAGATTCGGCCCAACTCATTATTCCCTCAAGTGGTCAAGATTGACATGTGCGTTGGGCGTGTGGCACATTGGATTAAGAAATATTGAGAAAATATCATGAAAATCTTTGGCTCAAGAAACAATTGGAAAGCAAAGCGTTATCAGAGCAAAGAATAAAAGAAAATATTTGACTGAGCTGGTGCTGTGCGGACAAAGGGAGGCAAGAAAAGATTTTTAGCATATAATAAATATTGAATGAGAGGTAATGTTGCACGTGGGACATGTAGTTGATCTTGAGCAATATATCTTTCTGACAAATGTTTGTTATACACGAAGAAGAAAGTCGATGGGTGGCTTTTCATATATTCGTATTTCCTCTTTTGAAGAACACAGGGAAAGAAGCAAAGGGAATTTGGTCAGCATGGGGCATATATTCTGCGCAATATATTAGACACTATCAAGAGGCCCTTACGTCTTCGGTGGCGTGAACAGAAAGAAAAAGGTCACAACAAAGGGAAAGAATTGAAATGTAATATATTCTAAATAATCATAAGAGGAAAGCAGATTTATTCTCTTTCCTCGAAAACCTAGGACCTCCCTACCTATAAAAGGGTCACACATAGACAAGAGAAGGGGGGGCTCGAGAATTCTCAGAATAATCTTCAGAAAGATGCGAGTGATACACGTGAGTGAGAGTGAGAGAAGGTCAGTCGTGCCACTCCTTGCCGCACTAACCGGCGCCACTGCATCGCCACCCGAGCCCGCTCATCGCTCAAGAACGCTGAGCGCAGAAACCCATTGATCGCCAAGCTGCCGCTGCTGCCCCGTGAAGCTCGAAGGCCGCTCGTTGCTGCTGCCCGACGTTTCACCAACCGCTCACAGCCATACCTGTGGTCGTGAGTCATTGCGGACCGCTACTGCTGCTGTTCCGCGACGCTGCCACCCCACTGCCGCTCTTCTCCGACGTCGGTTGCTGTTGTTACTACCCCTGCACTGGTGCCTGCTGCCCCGACCGACGACGACGTGCTGGTCACTACCGCTATTCCCGCTCGTGTAGTCGCCGCCTCCGCTGTTCTGCTGACCAACACTTCCGCGACCTTCATCAACTCTGCTGCTTCCTGACGAGTTCGTGGCCGAAAATCTTGACGCCATTCAGCCGCATTGACGAAGCACCAAACCTTGCCGCCTCAACTCAAACAAATTCTGTGCCGCGAGTCTTGAAATCTGGTCTCCAGAGCACCAGTGAAGTTCGTCAGCGACAATTGGAGGCCTTGAAGTTCCTTTGGTGTGTCGTCCAGCAACTAGCCCATGCAAGATACGAAGAGAGGGAGGGGAATATAAGAGCCATATAAGAATATTATTTTTTGCAGGTTATCCACGTTCCACCACCTTCTTGCTTTGTTGACCAGTAAAGTCAGCGAACCAAATTCCGAGTCACACCGTGAGCTACCGTCCGCCGATCCCGAGACGTTCAAACTTGGAAAGCAAATATTCGAATTAGGTAAAAAGCTCATATAATTTGACTTTCGAGTATATTGTTTCCTTATTTGAAACATTGCAATCTTTGAATGATATCACCGTATCCATTACGTCCCTGAGTAAACTTTAAATTAGGAATTATTTCCTAATTTCACAACGTGCATATGATTGACAGTCCGATTTCATGCCCGAAATATGACTCGCGATCGCACGGAAAATCGTCAATCCGATCTCCCGCCCGAGATATGATTCGCGTTTGTGTGAAAAATTGGTCAATCCGATCCTCATGCCCGGGATACGATTCGTCAATTTATTGTTTCTAAATTTAAACGGATATCGGTAATATTTCTTGTGCGAGATGGTGTCGTGTTGATTCGATTTCTATCTTTGTTTGATTTGAATTGATCTTGTTTTTCTCAAAAAAAAATCCCAAAAAGAATGAGTTGCTTTAGGATAGAATATGATAGATTGCATTCTTAATTTGAGTAATTTTTAATTTCGAATTTTAATACCAAAAAGAAGACACTTTAGGATAGATTAAATTATTATTTTTTTTTAGAATAGGTTGCATGTTAATTTAGGCAATTTTTTTATTCCGAATTTCATTGAAAAAATACCAAAAAATAAATTATTTGTCCGTCATTAGAATTAGGTCACGTCGTCGCATGACATATAGTTTGCATGCTAGGTTGCATTAATCGCATGTCATTTTTGCACGTCATTGCATATAGGTTAGTTTGCATTTTAATAAAGCGCAAACCCTAATGAACATCTTAAGTGCCTTGCTTTGTTAATTAGAAATCATATTAGGATTGCCTGTGTGATTTTTTACTAACAATGCAGATGCTTGCGTGGCTTTAAGGTATGTTATCCTGCTATTTATTTACTGCTTTCTTGGGTGTTACTTTGGTGGTTTGCGCACCCGCATGATCACCTCACATGCTAGTGACTGAGTTAAAATGAATCCAAACTGTCTGCCAAAACATTTTTTGAAAAGAAAAGGTACCGAAAGGGCGTTAGACTAGATCTAGCGTAACCAAGTCCCCGAGCTTAGAATCTCTGGTTCGTAGGAATAAAACATATCTCCCTATGTTTTATTTAGGTTTCTAATCGACCTACCATAAATAGATTAGTGGCGACTCCAAGTACGAAAACTTTTGCATGTTAAAAACTTAAACCCTAAGTTGCGAATTGGTAGGGCTTGGGAGGGCCCGAGTTAGGCTTAGTCTTAATAATCCATTAGCCTGAGAGAAATTTTAGGTCGCGACAGCTTGGCGACTCCGCTGGGGAATTGAGTTAAAACTCTTAGTGGACTTAGGCCAGTTTTTCTTTTCAAAAAAAAAAATATTTTGTTTGGCAGCGAGGATCCCAGGTACGTCCCTAACATTTTAAGGTGTTAAATGTTTTTGTAGAATGGGAGTTATAAGGGGTGGAGTGTTTGTTAACCATTTTCTTGCAGGGAGGTGTTGAGATTGGATGTTTCAATTTTGATATTGAAGCGCTGTTTGCATATGAACTGTTGTGCATGCCTATGCATCTTCACTACACTCTAGCACACACAACCTGTCGCCGGACCTGGGCCGCATAGGATCACCTAGGATGGTATTGAGATGGATACCACTCCGACCGTCCGCCCGCGGTACGAGTTGCCCATCTCAATCCCGATATTTCTTTCTTGATGTCAAAGAGATTACCACCCCGGTCCGCATGCCCGCGACATGGGTCGGCTCTTTGACGATGCCGGAGTTACAAGGACCCGACTTAGTCCGCATGCCCGCGGCTAGTCCGATCATCCCCGTGGCTCCACTTTGTTAAGCTTTCTAGAGTAGAAATCGAGCCACGTAGCATGCGTATGTCTATGTGATTGCCATCCGGTTATTGGTAAAGTAAGTCCTTTGAGCTTTTTCTTCGCAATTTATTTACTTTATCGTATTGTTTTGTCGGTCCATGACATTAGGTTGATCGCAAGTCTTGGTCAATATACAATGGGAAATTCCGACATTCGACTTATTCTTCCTCCCAAGAAGGAACTCAACGCGTGGTGGGACAAGCTAGACCGAGCTGGTCGTGAGTTCGTGGAATTAACAATTGGCCGACTCCTCCCTCTGTTGCGTATCAACATTCATGGCGGCCTCATTCAAGCACTTGCCCATTGTTGGTGTCCAGAGACGACTACTTTCATCTTCGGTAAGCATGAGCTCACTCCGACCTTGGAAGAATATAGCATTGCCATTGGAAAACCTTTGGAATTAGAATTAATTAGTCCACCTATTGGAATAAATCCTGTCTCGATTTTATCTGATTTTCTGAGAATCAAGGAAGAAAAGATAAGAAAAATTTTAAAAGGTCACCGCAATACTTGCCCATTTTCATTTCTTGATGAATGTTTTCAAAATGGCACTTCATTTCAAATGAGAAGGATTTTCCTACTAGCTTTCTTTGGGTTTATACTTTTCCCTCACTGCAAGAATGCTATTAATCCTTTGATTGCTAAGTTAGTGGGACAAGTGTGTGGGGGAATGAACTTTGTTAATGCCCTCCTGGCAGAAACTTTTCTTTCCCTTTCTCGATTTAAAGAAAATGGAGACAAAATCTTTCGTGCTTCTCCTGAACTTTTGCAAATTTGGTTCTTATCCCACTTAAAAGGGTTTGGTGGTCTAATGATTATACGTGAAGTTAGCAACTCTGATCACCCTATCATGAGATTTGAGAATAAACAAAAACATGCACCGGATTATCATTATTCCAATTGGCTGGCTTTCTTTAAAAATCCAAAGTCCAAATGTTTCCTATGGCATGCTAAATGGTTCCAAGTTCGTGAGGCCAGACTCACATGTGGACGTGTTGGCCCAATCCCTTTACTGGGATTCACTGGGGCAATGGAATATTACCCAACTAGGGTGACTCGCCAGTATCAAGTGGTGCAAGAGCTTCCCCCAGCTTTGAAGCAAGCTGATTCAATTCGAGTCGACTTCACCGACGGAGACCTCGACCATGAGGATAACATTTCTTTAATCAAGTCGCTGTGGGATATGTGCCATCCACAAATGCTCATATGGCCCGAAAAAGAATTAGAGGGTAAAGAAAGAAAGTACTATGCTACGGCTGAATACATTCGACGACACAAGATTCCAGATAATTTACTCCCGAAGATACCAATGGTGCCTGAGAAGATCACCAACCGTGCTGAGAAAAGATGTCTCAAGAGAAAAGCTGAGAAGTTACAAGAGCAAGTTACACACTTGGCCAAGGAGAATAAGCGATTACGTTTGGAAATCACATCCCAGTTGTATATTGATCAAGCCAAATGAAATGGCTCGTGTCTTTTAAGATATTTTTCTTTCTAGATTCGTTGTTTAGGAATTGAGTCATTTGTTTTTGCATTTAAGTGATTTCAAGTTATAGTCGTTGTAAAAAAATTTCGTCATTTCAATAAAGAGGTCATTTTTAATCAAAGCGGTTAGACCGATGTCATGGATCGGCATGTGATTCTTCTTGACACTTATGTATGCCTGTTTTATCCGTGAAATCAGGTAATTACGGACCGATCACGATCGCCTATTCGTACACGGTCAAGAACTAGAATGGCCGATCAAACTGACTTACGAGATCGTGTCGTTGGCATTGAGGACCAAATGAAGCAAGTCCTCACTGCAATGCAACAGATGTCTGCCGAGATTAAAGCCTTTCGACTGGCTCCCATTCCTGCATCCCCTGAGGCATCAGCCCCAAAGCAGAAAGGTGGAAAGAATGCCGATAGTGAGGAAGATGACGATCTTCCTGATTTAGTAGATGACCCCGTCCAGATTATCGTCAATAAGGACAAACCTAATGAACGGGTCAACAAGCTTGAAGAGAGAGTGAAGCAACTGGAAGGCTCACATGATTCACCCTCAATTGACTTATCTCTTTACTCACAGATCAAAATCCCGAAGAAGTTCAAGATGCCAGATTTTGACAAGTACAATGGCACCTCCTGCCCAAAGGCCCACCTGCAGCTATATCACGTACAAATGACCCCGTACGTTGAAAATGAACTCCTGATGATTCATGCATTTCAAGCAAGTCTGACGGGTCCTGCCTTGAATTGGTATCTCATGAAGAAGATAAATGGCTTCAAAACCTGGAAGGAAGTTAGTGAAGCATTTCTAAAGCAGTACAGGTTCATAACGGACATCATTCCCACCCGCGATGACCTCGAGCGTGCTCAGATGAAAAAGACTGAGTCGTTCAAAGATTATGCTATCAGATGGAGAAATATAGCCGCTCAGGTTATCCCGGAACCTATAGACAGTGAATTGAAGAGGATGTTCATTAAAACTCTCCCGTTTGAGTACCGTAATCGGATGGTAGCCACTCCGGCTGACAACTTCAATCAACTCATCCCCATAGGCGAACAGATTGAGATAGGGCTGAAAGATGGGTGGTTTGTGGAGCCATCTTCCTCGACCAAAAGATTTGGTGCAAGGAAGGAGAAGGAACCGGCACTTGAAGTGAATGCGACTTATACCCAAACGGGCCGACGGAATGCTAACCTTGTCCCAGCAATCCAAGTAGCAGAAACTCAACAACATAGCACGGGTCGTCAACCCTCTCAGAGGAGGAACAACAAGAGGCAATTCACCCCCCTCCCCGGGTCGTTGTCTCAAGTGCTGGTGGTCCTCCGGAAGAAAGGTTTGCTTACCACTGAGCCAAAGAGGCCCAACCCCGAGCAGTTCTATAACTACGATCCGTCCAAGAAATGTGATTATCATATGGGTGAAGTGGGGCATTCAACTAATGACTGTATCACTCTCAAGCATCGGATCCAGAACTTGCTTGACACAAAGGCATTTTCCTTTCAACCCACTAAGCCGAATGTTCAGAGCAACCCGCTCCCTGATCATGCGGGCAATGTGAATGCCATATTTAGTTTTGATGCTAGTCGAATCAAGAATGTCAAGGTGTACACCGCCGACGTCTACGGTGAGTTGGTGAAAGCCGGTTATTACCCGAGTAATGAGGTCCTTCCCCGGGCTATCATGAAGAAAAGAATCTCTGAAATGGTAGAAGCCGGAATGATTGTCTATGCCAATCACACTAGCATCGTCTCCACAATCTCCGAAGTGGTTATTAATTGGGACGAGGAGTTTGCTACATTGAACACCGGGAAGGACAAGCTCGACCCTCTGCCTGAAGACATGCCTCCGCTTGAAGACGCGTCTGGTGATGAAGAGATCGTAGTAAGCATGCCTACAACTGATGAAGGAATAGTGATCGAGATACCTCAACCATATGAGTACAGTGATAATAAGGCAGTCCCTTGGTCCTACAATCTCGATGTCGACTTGGTTACCAGATCTGGGCGTACCTATGGCCAAGCTAATGCCCAACCTGCAAAACCTGTTACTGATGAAGAAGCCAAGGAGTTTCTAGCTGTGATTAAGGCTAGCGAATACAACATAGTTGAACAATTGCGCAAGATGCCCGCACAAATCTCTCTGCTTGAACTACTCCAGACATCTGTCAAGCATCAGAAGGCCTTAATGAAGGTGTTAAGTGAAGTCCACGTGCCAGAGACGATCGATCATGACAAATTGGAGGAATTTGTAGGTTCTATACTCCTCAAGGACCTCATAGCCTTTTCAGATGAAGAGTTCCCTTTGGAAGGGAGGGGGCATACCAAGGCACTTTACATTTTCACAAATACAAGGCCTCACATGTAGCCCGGTACTCATTGACAACGGATCGGCCTTGAACATTTGTCCTTTGGCGACTTTACACCGCCTCAAGATAGATCCTTCTAGGATAAATTTTGCGAAGACCTCCGTGCGAGCCTTTGACGGAACAAAGAAAGAAGTGATGGGAGAGATCCACCTTGATATACAAATAGGACCAACAATGTTCAACATCCTATTTCAAGTTATGGACATTCCCACTGCATTCAATTTTCTGCTGGGTCGTCCATGGATTCATACTGCCGGAGCTGTGCCATCCAGTTTACATCAGAAGGTGAAGTTCGTTGTGGAGAGAAAGTTAGTCACAGTCCACGGTGAAGAAGAGCATCCAATTTACCATGCAACGGCTATCCCCTATGTTGAGCCGGATTGCAAAATAGAATCGAGCTATCAGTCGCTCGAGCTTGTATCAACCATACATGCGTCAAGAGGATCATCACCGCCCATACCTGAGGTGTCAAATGCTGCAGTCATGGTTGGCAGAGTAATGGTGTCCCATGGCTTTACTCCAGGTGAAGGCCTTGGTAGGAATGGTCAAGGTATCCGCCAACCGGTGAAAGTCTCTCGGAGGCCCCACACTACTGGGTTGGGGTACCAGGGGTCAAGCGAGCCAAATAATGGGGGATGTGGACGTGGACGTGGACGTGGACGTGGTCGAGGTCGAGGTCGAGGAGATGGGCAGAATAGACAGCGGTCCGAAAAAGAGCCGAATGTTGAAGAACGTGGGCGTGGAATTACCCAAAATAACGGAGAGCTTGGGCGTGGTAGGTTGCTTCCACACATCCGCGCCACATTCCCAGGCCCTGCAAGAATGATGCATGAAGAGAAGGAGGTGATCGACACTTTGGGGCAACCGAGCGGCAAGTTCGATTATTATGTGAAATACTCGGCGCCCCCGAGCTTCTATGTTGACCCCTGTGACATAGTCCCGGATGGATGGGGAGGTATGGATGATCCAACACCTCTAATGACAGAAGATCCTGATGATTCAATGGATGGAATCACTGCCTTGTTCGATGATTTCTTCATTGGAGCTATCGAGGAAGGACCATTGGAGAGAATGGGCACTGGCCCGCAAGAGTAACACCTTTACTTTTTTCGCACACTCCCCTGCGTGGGAATTTTTACTGCTTTTTAGGACTTGCCCCGTCTTGGGAGCTGCTTTTCAGGACTTTTCATTTCTAGGACTTGATTGTTGCAATTTCCATTCCAATAAATGTAATTCATTTGGTGATAATCAATGAAATTACAAGTTATTTTCATTTTTGAGGGCATGTTGAGGTACATCAAACCAGCCCGGTGATGATATCCAACCGATAAAAAATATAGTCCAAGGAGAATTCTGAGGCCTGGGCTTCTCATGCTTCCTCGTGTTAAAACTTTTTTGAAAAGAATTTCGAAAACAAGTCACAAAAAAAAATCAAAAGAAATAAAAATACACTGTTTAGCCCTGTTTGTCCTTCTGAACCCCCTACTTTATGTTTCAGGGGCAATCTTGTGACACGTGAGGGTATGGAAACGGTCCAATCTGATGAATTATGTGCCACCGAGCCTGATCTCGATGACATCAATGAACTCGAAGATTCCTCGGACCTTCAGCGCGATCTAGAGCATCATGAAAGACCTAAAGTCCTAACGGTAGACCAAACTATCACTGTCAACTTGAGTGATTCCAGAGAACCCAAAGAGGTGAAGATAGGGGCAACCCTTCCCGAAGGTGAATCGAAACGCTTGGTCCAACTGCTGAAAGATTACCAGGATATCTTTGCCTGGTCGTATACCGATATGCCAGGTTTAGACCCTTCTATTGTGGAGCATAGTCTACCTACTAATCCGGACATGCCGCCCAAGAAACAGAAGCTGCGAAGAACCAAACCTGAACTTTCGAAGAAGATAGAGGAGGAGGTCATGAAACTTTTGAAAGTAGGGTTTATTGAAGTCACCCGATACCCCAGTTGGGTGGCCAACATCGTGCCAGTCATGAAGAAAGATGGCCGAGTTCGGGTTTGCATCGACTATCGTGATCTAAACAAGGCCAGCCCTAAAGACGATTTCCCATTGCCACATATAGACGTTTTGGTGGACAGTACTGCTAGGTTCGAGCTGTTTTCCTTCATGGATGGTTTCTCGGGTTATAATCAGATAAAAATGAAGGACGATGATAAGGAGAAAACAGCGTTCATCACTCCATGGGGAACATTCCACTATAAGGTCATGCCCTTCGGCCTTAAAAATGCCGGGGCAACATACCAACGGGCAATGGTGACGCTTTTCCATGATATGATGCATAAGGAAATCGAGGTCTATGTCGATGACATGATCGCCAAGTCTCAGTCTGGGAAGAGTCACGTCGATACCTTGAAGAAATTATTCGAGAGATTTCGTGAGTTTAAGCTTCGTCTCAACCCAACGAAGTGCATGTTTGGAGCAACCTCGGGCAAATTACTCGGGTTCATAGTAAGCAGTAAGGGTATTGAAGTTGACCCCTCCAAAGTGAAGGCTATATGTGAGTTGCAACCTCCATCGACCGTGAAAGAAGTGCGAAGCCTCCTGGGTAGATTGAACTACATAGCCCGTTTTATTTCTCAACTCTCTGAAA